GATAGACACCCCCTTCCTTTCCATCTTGTGCTAACCTTTAATAGTTTATCTTCTTTTCCTAAAAGCTCTGTGATGGAATGCATGCAATCTGCAGCGAGGTACATCCAGCATCTAAGGTCTACATGTCGCTCATCGTCACTAGGGTGCGAAGCCCGGGGATAATCATCCAGCCCCGAGGAAAGCGTCTGCAGGAGATATAAGACATCATTTTATCTCTGAAAATCTGTCAATTGAACTACCAAATATGCAGATAAAGCAGATGAACAAAGTAGCAATCCTACAAAACAAAAGGTCGCCCACACACACACCAAATGAATTCTGAGACATCTTCTTGCTAACAAGCATATACTAAATCAAAAAGTCGTCATTAGCATATATTGATAAAGAGCACATGGAAGCAGCTTACGAGAGAGAAAACATTATAACTCTGAGACTCGAGATTTGTAGTCTATGTGTGGGCTAAAAATATAATATAGCAATAGCATTATCATCATGAGAAACCAAGAAATAGTACCTTAGGGTTAAGTTCTCGAGTTGTTGAGTTGTCTCTCCCATGCCAAAAGTAGCTTCCGACCTCCTTGCCTAGTGTTTGATCAGGTCATGAAAAACAATAAATGAACTAGCCCACTAAGCATATTAAGACTTAAAATACCAATTAAAGACGATCTCGTCACATCTAGTGATTGAGATTAACAACTAGTGATCCAACTGTGATTGGTAAACTATAGTCACTTAAGATACTACAAACTCTAAAACACAGAGCACTCGAAGACAGAAAGAATCCTGTAGATATATAATTGGATTTACACCATTAAACTAGAGGATAACCATGTTGTTACCTGTCTGGGAAGTGTTAAACCACTGAAACCATGCATCTAAGCGTGCAGAAGCTCGCTCAAGGAATGACAATATTTCATCTCTTTCGGATTCGGTGAACTTTTCCATCCTTATACCATCTATTAGATCTGGAAAAAAGGATTGTCACTATATAGAATTATATTGATTTTGAAACCTTTTTTCTTTATATGAGTAGGTAACATTTTCAATCTGGGAGTTGCAAGGTGAAAACACTATGATCTTGGCGACAAATTTCTAAACATCTAGTTGTAATAGGAAAAGAAATATTAGTAAGACAACAGAAGGAAGCTGACAAGGATATTGCTGATTCCCTATCCTTTAAAATGTGGTGTCAAGGATTGGCAGTAGAATTTTGATTAAAGAAAAATGATTGGCAGTAGAATAAACTTATGGCACAAGGGCTTACATGAAATAAAATGAAAGCGATGATCAAAAGACAAATGCTTAGTAGAATACAACGGATTCTTACCGCGTATCACCAAAAATAGTGTTGGTGGATTGCCATTACTTGGGTACTGAACTACGAACTCCTCTGGAACCTTGCTGCAGTTAAAGAAACTCTAAAAAAACTTACACCAATAGCCATGACTACCACATTTAGTGAGAGAGTGTAAATACCTCAGAGCTTCAGCACCCAAAATTTGCTCACGTGGAATCCATCCATCTATGTTCAAAAGGTCCAACCAGTGTCCAACGATATCCAAGGTTATACGAAAATCCCAGCGCCTGTTGAAAGCACACACAAACACACTCCAAAGAATGATCAAGTAGCGGGATGACTATAGTTTTTAACTCTGTAATAAGATGTTTTCTAAGAAAAACGTGGCCTTTCAGAAAAATCCATTTAAGAAACAATCACAATAGCATCATATCAAATAATCTTTAACAAGTGAATGATCAATTAGAACAAACCAGATCAACAATTGATGGAAACCTTCGTCCCACAAAAATCCCCTTGGAAAAAAAGGCCGGCTTGGAACAGCTGTGTACAGCTCGGCTGGCCAATATAGCAAGAAATTATCCGGACTTTCAGACTGCAACAGAAGGCATTAATTGTGTGAGTCTGTGAGAGGTCCAACCTAGTTTGCAGATGGGAAGGACATAAAAGGGATAAAAAATTGATAAACAATAAGCAGGATGGAAATAAACTCGCCTGAGTACTTTTCGGAGCATAAATTTTTGATTGACCAAAGAAGTAACCAATGCCACCAAGCATGTTTGCAATTGCAGTCTTGCCCACCCCCAATGTTTCTGAATCATGCTGAAACCACAGGAAACTGAGATTGAGATCCTCATCTCCTTCTAAGATGCAAATTCTCAACTATATCTACGTTCTGACAACTAGGAGCTGACAACATTTGCTCGTCATTGAGAATAAACAGGATGACACATAATCCAATAAAGAGAACTAATCCTAGTGGAAGGAGATACTGAGAGGTGAAGAATGAAAATGCTAAAGTCAATCAGTGTGTTCTCGACTACACATCCAGACAATTTGTTAATGGGAATTATTCCGCAACTACATCAAGATCATCCATGACACACAAGACCTATGGATGTGCTAAAGATAATCTATTAGAAGCATACCTTTTCGGAAAGGTTGAAGCATTCCTTAAACTTTGCATCAAATTCTCTATGTTTCTTATCAAGTAGATCAGAGAGTGGCAAACCTACATGGAATATATATGAAACTTAGCGCAAAGTCAATAAAAGTAGACAATATCAAAGATATTAGTGATCAAAATTAATCCTATGCTGTCAGAGAAAACATTTTTTCCAATGGAAGCTCTACTGAATTGGCCCACAGCAGATACATATGATTAGTAACCCCTAGCGAAGCTAGAAAATAACAAGATACTGCTTTTGCTCGGTTGGAGGGACTCTTAAGATATACAAAACACACCCACAGAACCCAGCCATATATTTCAAGTTAATGTTTTTTATCTGAGCTATGAGAGGCTTTAACAAACTATTAACCGGATGAGAAGTTCTTCCATACTCAAACCAAAATGCAAGTTACATACACAAACTAAGGTTAAGAAATTCGAACTCATCAATTATGATGCTTGGTCACAACAGGAGGCTTAAGAAACCTGTGAGACTTGTTAAACGCTTTTCCACGTTTGAACTTTCTCCACTGATCCCGGAGACGAAGGGAATATCTATTGTAAATGGAAGCCTCCCAGAAATCTGTATGATAAAAGATATGTTGACACTGGACACGGTGAAGCATATCGATCATAGATTCTATAGGAGTTATGAACATTCGTTGTATTTATACGACAATACAAACACATTCATCTTCATTAAGACTGATTACCTGAAAGACGTAAATGTTGGAAGAATCCTCTGATGTGTCAGAGAGCTGAAGTCGTCCAAACTTCCTCGCCTTAAACATACAACCCAAGACATGTCAGCATTACGGTCTTTATAGACAAACAAATACGTTGGGACCTTTCAAAATGAGTTATGAGCTTGAAATTGGCAGACCTGCAGAGCGAGATTTTGCTGAACTAGATCAGACAGATTGTATAGGTGAGGCGTCTTGAAACCGGAATAATGGGTCTCGAGCTGATTCTGCAAATAACGTACAATTAAAATGGTCACGTCCAGATGAGCATCAGCGGATGACATATGGAAACACGCCAGAGAATGTCAAATCACCCACAGATCCACTTCCAGCTATAGATATCCTAAGATCTCTAAGGAGCACTTCAATCACAAAATACCTGAGATTTCAAGTGTATCTGCCAGTCTCCTACATCTTCACGTGAACCCGAAACCAGGAGAGAGGTCCCTTGAAAACCTAAAGTATCTTGGCCTAAATTTAGAACATTGCCTCCTTCATCAGCTAAATAAAAAAAGAGATGTGCGCTCCTTTTTGCATCATCATTCAACCTAGTTTAATCCCAGCATGGTCAAGAAAAAAAACTTTCATCCCACAGTGCAATATAAATACTAACAATAAGCCAAAATAACAAAAGCAGAGACGTTGAACAAGAATATAGTACTAGTGTATAATCAACAATTACCCTTTAACATCAATTCGAACTGCCCAATCACCTCCATAGCCAAGGCTATCCTCCTTTGACTTCACAAAACTTGTCTCCAATATCATATCGTTTTCAACCAGCTCTTGCCGCCCAAAATCCCGTCCATTGTGTTCTCTCCAGCCAAATGAACTTAGATCATCAGCGTTTTCACAGAAATGCCGCATAACATACATCTCGTCTTTGACACCAAGCCACATCAAGCCAGCTACCAGGGACAGTGGAGTTCTGCATTGTCATGTACAATTTATTTGCTTGTATAAGAAGTAGCCCAATTTTCACATGAAACGAGAATTGAAGAAGCACTCACTATCTTTCAGTTTTTAAGATGACAAAGTGAAAGAAAAAGAGATCATGGAACAGCCTAAAGTCTCATCCCAACTCTTGAGATTATAAAAGCAACAAATACATTTTCCCATAGAGATTTTTATTCACATACCTCGCGCGAACTCCAAAGTAAACATGAGGACGATAAGTTCCCCAGTACAAGCTCTCCTTGTGCTCTCCCTGAAACTGGTACATATACAATACGAATCTTCCAATTCAATTTCTCACAAGAACAACAAAAAGAGGAGAAAAAGCTGAAGAAACCAATCGTGACTATAAGATTCGTGTACCATAGACAAATTCATGAGTTTCGGAGCAGGAAAAGGAGTGATAACCCTAGGCTTCTGGGATTCATCAAACAATCCGTTGATAACAATCCGATTGATGACGAAGTAGAGGACTATAATCCCCAAGATGATTAACCCAACCAACATATTGAGATTCGTCTTGAAAGCACCGATCGACTCGAGCTTCTTGCGTTTGCCTTGACGGATACTCACAGAATAACAAAGCGAACCGGTACCTTCGTCGAAGCCGGAAGCTGAGGATTTGATACGAGCATGCGCGCTCCGGCGGCTTGGACCGGTCATGATCGGAGTATCGGGAGACGGAACCTTTTAATCGGAGAAATTGCAACTGAAACGAGGGAGGTGGCTCTTGTGTGATTGCTATGATCATCCCACTGAAGAAGCAAGGGAGTGAAGAAGGTAGAGAGAGGGTTGACTTTGACCAATCGTTTTTGGGTCCCTAAAACTAGAGGAAAAAATTGCAAAAATGCCCTCAGCAAAATTTGGATTATTATACCAATAAAAAGTCTGCACATTACATCCTCTTCGATGCTTCCAATTAATAAGGAACTTGTGGGCATTAGACTCGATCAAAATGCATTAACCACTGCTAATTCTAAGTTTCTAGAGAACATTCTTTTTTCTTGTTGCAGTGAATTCATGGTTATAATAAACATACAAAATTACAAATATAATTCACAACACAGAGATCTACATGCTCATTGAACAAACAAAATGGTGAGTGGCTCTACTGTACTCGCGTGCACTAGCACTACTATCTATACACATCTATTCACACGTCCTTGACGAAAATGCTCTTTGATCACAACCAATATAAAACATACGCAATCAACTTCAAGGTGCTGACTGCCCGTAATACCTCAACTCATAGTTTGCTCAATATTGGCTTAAAATCCTGCAAATACAAACATTCAGATCGTTGCTTAACAGGATGGGATGGTTTAGATCAGTTTTGAGTGGAAAAACACATGGGATAGAGTTTGATTACTGGTTACTGAATTGAATTTCTCGACAAGGTCAGAACCACTCAGCCATGCATTTAGGGTAAAGCTCACTCTCAGTAGCAATGGAGGAGAGTCCACGAAGCTCTTTCTGAACTTTCCGTCTCTCATAAAATACTGAGCACGCCAGGGAAGTGCATTTCACTCCGCATTGCAGTACCCAGTCACCCCCACCACAGTGTCTGCATATCTGCAAATAAGATAAGAAAAAGCAAGTGATGGACCAAGAAAGTTGGAAATGCATCTACTTATGAGGTCTCAACATTAAGCACACAGGGAAAGAGGTCTACAGTCGTTCTTGTTCGTAATCTAGCCGACAATTCTGAAAGATAATCTGAAACTAGTCTCCACTCTTCAGCATAAAATATCAGCAACTACCATGAGATGAAACTGTTTGTTCGAAATCAAAATGTATGTCAAATGCAAGCGCTCACGTCAGAAATTGTATAATTTTAGCATGATTCACCCAAAACTGTTAAAAATGGTTGTAAATGATACAACGATTTGTAAACAGTATATAAACTTAGAGTACTTACCGTGGCTAGGTGTTGCATCTCTCTCTCCAATTTTGAAGTCTTCCAAACAATGGTTGCAGCGGCAGCACTTTCATTTTTGAGACACCGGTTGCATAGCTGAGCAGATCCCTGAACAACTTCTCCACACAAGAAGCAATGTTTCGAGAGATAAAAATAATCAATTCTAGTTTTGTGAGAGTTTCTAGAGTTTAAGGGACGTTGACCAAGGGAGCTTCTGGTGGGACGGGGCATCTCCAAAAACCACTGGTTTAAGTCTGCACCCACCAGTCCAAATACCCTTTGCAAAGCTGGTATAATTTGTTTGTTGATGTAGTACAAGTCATTCAATCGGTAGGGTGAATAGATATCCAAAAGAACCAGTGGGTCCACCACCATATCAACAAGTCGAGCTCCTGGTTCCCCATGGATCACAACATACGGCACTCGTTCAGCATAGCGTGGTTCTGTCCGAGGGTCTGCTGTCATTGCTTTGGTTGCCACAATAGCTGCTGGAGGAAGGAGTGAAGAGTCTCTTGTGCTATAAGTCCCCAACCTAACTTCTTTTGCAAAGATAAAATCTTGAAGAGACACTCTCCCTGATAGTATCCGCTTCCACTGTCTATACAAGTACAGCTTAACCTGCACAATGAATAGAGAAAAGCAGGTGTAAGCCACTGTAGTTTCAGCTGACAATTTGAAAGAGCAAAAGAAATCAAATTTGTACCTCAGAGATGTTCTTCTTTTCAAAAAAGAGTTTCAACGACTGCTCCATAGTTTTTGAAACAGCTGTACAAGTGTCTCTTCGAACAGTTTCAATACCTTTTGCATCAAATATAGGCTCGTTCTGATCGGGACTTTCATAACTGTATCCAACATAGCGCTTCTTCGTAAGAAGGAAACAAGGGTGATAGACTTTCTCCATCTTTAGAGTGACTGGGTGTGGGTTCATTTCAGTTATTGCAGATGCAATCTCTTGACCGACTACAAAAGCTTCTTTCACAGTTCTTCCTTTGAGGAGGACAAACATACTACACAAGTAATAAAATGCATGAGGCCACACGGAAGTAGCAAATAAAGAAACTGCGATGAGTAGAAATGGAAAGTACCTATCAGTGTCGCCATATACAACTCTAGCGTTCCACTTATCATTAGCATTGACGTACGAAATCGCCTTCTCAAGTGTGCTACGACCACACTGGACAATACTATCTGCCAGCTCTGCACAAGGCATTCGACCACTGAAGCCAGCAGCAGTATAGCCATAAGTCACATTTGCTATCAGCTTTAAAGCAAGCTGCCTCGCATTAAATATCTGAAAGAAGATACCGAATACCATCAAATTGCAAATTAAACGATGATACCAGACACCACTAATATTGGAACCAAAAACTTGGGCCACTCTCTCTTCGGCCAGTCATCCCTATTCAAAATATTAGGTATGGACTCTGATCAAGATAACCATACCCGGTGAAGAACTGCTTCTGAAGGTTTCAATTTTTTCATTGCTTTTTTAACCATTATTCTTGTAGATAGAATTTCCTCTAGCAGCCTTGGTAATATTCCTCTGCGCATCTATATGTAAGAGGAGACTGTTTTGCTTAAACTAATCAAGAAAAGGATCGATCAATGAAGAAAAGAATGATGCTATTGGGAAATAAGATCATTGTTTCTATTGAATATGATGAATTTAGATTCAAGATTTAATTTTCTCAAGAAAAGCAAAGCACATTACCTCTGGAGGCATGTACATTACACTGTTTGGGGTCTGCAGAATCTGATTAAAATCCTGAAGAACATTAAGGTCTAAAGTGTATGAGCTGACCCCAAGGGTGTTCATCTTCAAATGTGTAAGTTTTCCGAGACATGTACAAAAGCACAGATTATATGCTATGATCATGGAAGGGTAAAGAGATTGAAAATCCAATACAATAACAGGATCATCGTAAAAGGCAGATTCTGGTTCCATCACAAGAGGTACACATTCCATAGCTGGCTGAGACGCAACCTACATGATAACTTGATATAGTTAGGAGAATGCTAACGCGTAAAAAGGGCTTGAAAAGATAATGAAGATTAACTGCAAGGCACATGTTATGGAAGCTATCATGAGGACAAAACAATTTATGGCGATTAAGGTTTTAAAACGGGGCTTGACCAGCCCATCATTTAAGGCCAGACGACTCGTCGATAAATCTAAGAAATGTTAAAAGTAAATCACTTGGAAGTAGCGGATAAAACGAACCTGTTGGTTGCCTGGAGAAATAGCAAGATAATTTTGTGTATGTGCTAATCTCAGAAGCATGGATTCCACTCTGTATTGGGAACCTCGGGAGAGAACTGAGAAAAAGTCAATGCCAAAAACACGAGCAAGTTCTGACGTACGATTTATCTGCAAACAATGATTTAGTAGGATAAACAACTTGCACATAATTCACTATATAAATCAAGTTGATAAAATGCTACATACCATGTCAAGTTGGCTCATTATCTCAAGGTTCAAATTTGCTCGGCGAGTCACATATTCTATGCATCGATATCTTGCACTTGCAGGACCACTTGAAAACCATTCTGTCAATACTTTATAGGGGATTGATGGAATCTTCTGCCTCAAAACAGCCTCCGACACAGCTTCAATCGTGTACATGTTGAGTTTCACTTCCCCACGAATCAAACGCCAAGCATTGAGAACAATTCTACCTCCAACATGAACACCACTAGCATGTGTGCGGCCCCACTCATCCTCAATTACCACTTCTTCTACTTTAGAAGGATCAGCTACCAACGGATCTGGCAGCGGATTATTATCAAGATTTCTCTTATTATCTGAATCATTTGTCGTGGTTGGAGATGGCGTCCTAGATATACTATTGAGAAATTTGATACCAAGCTGTGCAGCCCTTTCAGCTAGAAAACCAATGGATCCACCCTGTATATCCCAGCCCACAAGAATATCTGGATCCCATTTACATAAGGTCTCAATAAAACAACTGAATAATTGCCTCTCTTCAAGGAAGACGGACAACTTGCATCCAGATAGGCCATCAACATTTCTGAAGTGACATAACAATAACAGGATCAAAAAAGCATATTAGAGTAAGCAAATTATCGAAGTTGATGGTAGCATTAGACATAATAAAAGCTCGAATACGTCAGCTGCAAAACTTCTATGAAACCGATATAAGTTAAGCTGGTATATTACCTCTGGTAAGCGCTCTCTGGACTATATATAAGCACGAATACATCAGCTGCAAAATTATCGTCATTCTGCACGGCGAGAGCTATGACATTGACAGAATCAAATCGTGGGTCAGGTCGCAGGTCCCCTTTAGACTCTGCATGAACCTGTAAGTTTATAGACATTGAAGTGCATCAACAAACCTTTTCCCAGAAAACATCATCTTATAGTAAGAGCATTCATTTTTACTACAGAATATAATAGGCACTTTTACTCAATTCAAACAAGATGCGCAGCATATATAATTATTATACTAAGACAAGCTTTAAAGGTTAAACTCCTCAACGAGCTGCACATATTGACTTTCTAAGTCCAAGTATTCTCAAGTATTGAACAAATGATTACTCAAGTACTTGCAAGCTCATCACAATGAAGACGAAACGTTGTGTTGCTAGCTGTCAAGCTCGAGGAAGCAAACTGTAGCATGGGGCATTCAGTTTTTTTTTTCATCATTGCAATAAGTCGTTTTACATGAAAATAGGGTTCCAAGGTATATAGACCACTCAAACCATCAATGACTAATATCTGTGTGCGAAGGCTGTTTGAGGGCTTCTAATAATTAAATGTGTGGCTTCACAAAAAGGGGTTAAGTTAAAGTACCTCTATACTCAGCACTGTAAGTTGTTGCCCAGCCCCCATGCTCGCAGGATCTCGGAATCCAATTTGACTTAAGGGTGTGGGCCCTGATTTCCCATCAGGACCTGAAATCTGAGACATCTCTTGTGAAACACTTGTCTGCAAATTAAGGTTAAGAAACTTTCCTTTGCTTTTCAAATCCGTATGAGCATTTGATTCTGAATTCACAAAAACGTTATTATGCTGCTCCACGTGCTTAGACACAGATATCACATTAGATGCAGAAGCAAGATCAGTGAAACTCGTCCCACAATCAATATGATCATCTCCCAATGGTTGTTTTTCCGAATCAATATTCGAGTTTCCTGGACCTGGAAAAATTCATAAGGTTAAAACAAAAATCATCATTTTCACTTGCTTTTACAGCACCAACACTATAATGAATATCTTAATCAGGAACAGTACCATATTCGTAAGGAAAAAGGCTTTAAGAAATGTAATATTGACCCTTTGAGAAGATGTAAAATTGGATTACATTAGGCCATTTAGTGCCTTCTGACTAACTCTACACAATACCTTTTTCATTCGATATCCATTCTGAAACAGAATCCACAGGAGGGGGTGAAAAGGCAGGGGTCAGTAGGTAAAGGTTGGAGCCGTCATTGAGATGATGCAAGGGAATACCAAGGGAACCTTGGAAACAGGGTTTCTTTTCGTCCTCGTTAACTTCGGCGTCCTTTGAGGTAAAAAAGGGGATATCCTTGGAACTCCCCTCTTCCAAGAGAATAAACAAGAGGTTGTCAGAAGTAATCTCAAGTCGGAAACACGTAAGTAAAAATAAAGAAAGGAAGCACAGCCCAAGAGAAGTGCTGCAAAAACTTAAGTTGACCTTACTTCAGATTTATAAATCTATATTTCAATCGCATTTGCATTGATTGTAGAAGTAGCAGAAACTAAAACCAGAACGAGATGAGAAAAGGTACCCCATCCATCATGCTGTTTGTCCTTGGAATGATGAATTTGGACAGGAATTTCATGAGAATGCAAAGAATCATGCAGCCCAGAACTTAGGTAATCGAGAGAAGGAGGCTTCTTGCTTAAGGTTATGCATATTAATTTTCCTGTCTCATTGGCAGTTGACTCTTGCTCATCGCCAGATTTTTGGATATTATTTATACCACTTACAACAAGTTCATTGCCAGACATCAATATTCCTGATTCCACAGTGTTTGATTCCTTCCCAACTGGAATTATAGCAGATGAAAAATTCCTAGGAACTTCATCACTGGTTTGACCTGCTGCATCTTTAGCTGAACATTTATCAACAGAATAAAGTTCAGATGACCGAGTGGATATATTACACTCACAATTTCCAGCATCTATATAGGAGATAATGTTTGAGGAGCATTGCCATAACAACATTCACTAAATTTTGTAGAAAGAGCAGACCTTGTTTCTTGGCCTCAGATCTCACGGTAGCCATGCACTCCTTTTTTTTATCGTGCTGAGAGTCTCTAGTCTGTGGTTGAACCTTCCTAGCCTTCATATGTTGTGAAACAGGCGAGTCTCCATGGCATAACCGTTTTTTTCTCATCAAGTCCCGCAGCGAACATCCAGCCAAATCGTTTTTGTCAATCGTGCTACAAACATCTGTTTGATGTTCTTTGACTGGAACATTAATATTGTCTTTCATCTCATTCACGGAGTCAAAGCTAATCTTTCTTAAACCAAGTTTATCACTAGCATTTGTACTGTCAAAGTCCTTCTGAAGATTTTTTGTCAACGGAAAAGGTAAAGGTCCCCATACAGTTTTGCTAGGCTTGTTGCTCCTTGAGAAGCTCCTATTCTTATTCTTCATTACTTCACTCGTATGTAAATCACTCTTTCTGTATCTCTGGAATGAATTTTCGCTTGATTCATTTGAAGCTGAGATATTTGGAAAATCACTGGAGACTTCTGTGTCAAGAGATTGTTTCTCTGATGAAGTTATAGGATTCTGGCTATCAAGATTAGTATGTAAAGCTTCTTTTGTCGAACTCCCTACGTCTGGTTGATCCTCCTGAGAATCAAGAATGTCTTGACATTCCTTTTGGGATTGGCTCACATAATCTGTGCTAGCCATTTCAAGAATCTTGTTAATGGACGCTAAAGGCAATAGAGGACTAAGGATGGTTTCCCGTAGAATTTCATCATCGGAATTTATGTCTTCCGAAGCCTGGGATGAGGCAAGCCACTTAAATAGACCCAAGGCTTCAGCATCTTGTATTTCAGCAGGTGTATCTCTATCAGTGGGAGTATTCATATATGCATCATTTTCCATTGATGCTTTTCCACTCCTCTCATCAAGTGGAGAAAGTTTTGCTGATGCAGGGAACTCAATGCGTGTACCAACTAGATGATTTAAAACCTGCAGATCCGTAATTTCTGGCTTGGCATGCATCTCTGAACCGGCTGAAGATACTGCACTGGGTTTCATATCAGACGGAGACAATCCAACTTCGTGATGCATTTCTTTTAGCATATTCTCAAACCCAACATAATGTGACATAGTCTTCAGCACATCAGCTGCCGAGGGTTTGCCAGGATCAGGAGGTATAGGTGCATCATCATACACACCAGTTCTTTCATACTCCTCCTGACACAAGAGTGATGTGTTAGGCAAAGACCAACTAGATAACTTCAAAGTACAAAGCTAAGAAAGTTAGGATGAACCTCCCAAATTGCCACAAGCGACTGAACCATCTTAGTATCAGACTGGACTTGCGAGAGGGAGTTGTACATTTTAAATTGTTGATTGAGAATATCTACAAGAGAAGAAGCTAACTCAAAGGTCCATCATACATGAAACGAAAAAAATATATTTCGTTTCAGGAAAATTAGTATTACCACTAATAGTAGCATCTCCCTCAAGTTCACAGAGACTCTGACGTCTGTAATGGTGCCTATGTTGGCTCTGGCTCAACGGTGTATCAGATTCTTCAGAGAGATTCCACATCCATTGACCTGGGATTGTTGACAAGCTCCAAACAGGGAAACTGACGCTCGCAGTAGCACTTGAATCTGCCTGCTACATTGTTTCAGTATCGTGAAATAAAAGAAGATAGAATCTATCGAACAATATGTTGCCAAGCTTAAAGTATTTGAAGATCTACCTCTGTAATAGCCACTTCATCAATCCCTTCTCCCACACAATCACCCAAATAAAATCTCCTTGGACGGAAATGGTGAGGCACTGGGCTACGGAACTTCATCTTTGATATATGCACATGACCCATTCCATACAAATTATAGTCAACCTATAGAAAAGAATCAAAGAAACTTCAGTAATGGACTCTCAGACACCAGTTAGTACCTAGTGTATTATCAATTTGGAAACTACGTTCATATGTAAAATTGCTAAAATTGAAAGAATACCTAGTCGCTAAACAATTTCTCTTGAATACATAACAATGAAAAATTACCTTAAACTGGAGAATAAAAGGAATATGTGACTCGTAAGGCTGCAAACTTTTACCAAGAACAGCACCTGCCTAGAGAGCGAAAGAGAAAAGCAAACGCTAATTACAAAAGGCAGATTAAAATAGTCATCAGTATACTATTATCACCGAATTCAATGCATCACAAATAAAGTAGGGAATGATGGTGGAGTGGAACAATCAAGATATCGTACCAGAAGAAGACTAGCAGCACGAGCCACATCGTGTGGATGGTAGCTATAATACTGTTAAAGATAACACATAACAAACTGCCTTTAAAAGGGTACTGCACTAAAAGAAAGTATACAGGATACAGATAAATCTTCACAAATGCCTCTTCCAGTGAATGGTACCCATAAAACTTCTTTGCTCTAACAATCTCACAATCATGGACATGTTGCCTTTTCGAAGCAGTGTTACCCTTAAGCTACAAGTCCATATCAAGTATCATCAGGGAGGAATATTGATTGAGACACATTTATGGGAAGAAACAAAGTCAGGATAAAAGAAAAGAGATACATAAACGCAGGTCATAGCCCAGAGTCGTGACTTCAAAATCATGCTCACTTTGTATGTAAAACACACACCTTTAGAGCCTTCTCCAACTCAAGGGATACAGCAGGTATATTTCCATCAACTGAAGCAAAAAAAAAAAAACATGAAAAAAGTGTCATTGGTGCTTGACTAGCTAAAACCGGTACATTTCTCAGTAGAGTTATAAAAGTGTTATGCTTTCATACCTCCTTTATGAAGATCAACTGGAATATCCGAGCATGGAATATAGAGATACGGTAAAGCCTGCAAGAGAAATAAAGTTTCCAACCCAAGAAACCACAGGAATAAGGAACAAGAACAGGTATAACAACTGGCAAACAATCTTTCTTCTTAACAAGAAAGTAAATTAACAATCTTACGCGATGAATGTGCAAACAAGTCTTCTGACCAGCAGGTGTAGAACCATATATCCTTATAACAGGCACTTCTTTTACCTCGCCACCTTAAACGCCAGCAACAAGATCAAGTAGAACAAGTCAATAGCTTGCACTTATCTAACGAAAATGGAGCACTATTAATTCATTTCCTTAGTCTTCCCAACTAAAAAAAAAGTCAAAATTTGCTCAAAAACCTAAATCAATCAACCAAAGTGGAAGATGGGGATAAATGTTGGTGAAAGTGGACATATCTAGTGAACTCTTGAAGGATTCAACAAGCTGAAGCTTTAGAGAAATATAAAGAGAGATCTGTGTCACCTTGGAAGCTACTGTAGCAAATATCGTATCCAGGAATCGGAGAAGCCATGTAATAATCGATTGTCACAATCCGTAAACTGAAAACACTGGAACACGACAGAGAATCAGCCATGGTTGTTGTCTCTTTGAACAGAGGAATGGTTCAGACTTTGATGGAAGTCGATTTGGCGCCAGTGCCCGAATCGGCCCGGCCGGTGGATTCTCCAGTAGGGCTTTAGACAAAATCCGAAAACCAATACATCAAACCGACAAAAAACTGAACATTCAGTTTAAAATCTTCAAACCAAACGGTTTTCAATTCGGTTCAGGCTTGATTGTTTGTAGTTTTTGATTTTTGATTTTGCAAAAACCATTCTCTTCTCCAATCAAGATTTTTAAGAAATACATTCCCTAAAATTTAGGGAAACTAATTTTTGGAATAAACTATCTAATCCTAAACAAAAACCAAAATTCATGAAAATAGTTTTTAG